AAATCTATGATAGTTATACTAGAAGTTTGGTTTGTATAGTTAATCCTTTTCATTATTGTAATTGTCATTTGGTTGTTCCAAAGGAAATGTTATGTACTCTATGCGTGTCATAATCTTTGATATTTAGATCCGTCCAAGCCCACCTTGAGTTTTAGAGTTTATGCAGTTAAGGAAAGAAACTGATAAGGATCCTGCATCATCTGCAGATACGGCAGTTGTATAATAGCTAGATATATTCTGTTATAGACTAGTATTCTATATGACAAGATACAGTTACACAATTACACAATTAGGATTAGTTAGATAGAATTAGTTAGGTTGTTACCATGTGTATATATACTTGTAGAGATGGAATGAAATGTATGAAAAAAAATATCTTCAGACTTTCTTCATGGTATCAGAGCCGATAAGCTCTAGCGAGCGATCTGCAATGGCTTCTTCTTCATCTATTCCTCCCAATCTCACTATGCTGATTTCAAATCTTGGTTCTCTCATTACTGTCAAACTTGATAGCACAAACTTTCTCATCTAGAAAAACCAGATGCAGAACATTCTTCGCGCAACCAATTTTCTCAAATTTGTTGATGGATCATATCGTTGTCCACCAGATTCAATTCAGAATTCTTCAGTCAATGAAATTTGTAATCCTGAAGCAGTACAATGGAGAGTGATTGATTCACATCTCTTGAGTTGTCTCATTGCTACGCTCTCTCCGGCAATATTCACCACTGTTCTTCATCTTCGCACCAGTTTTGAGGTATGGATGTTGCTTGAAAAACGTTTCACCTCTCTATCTCGATCTCACATTCATCAGCTGAAGAACAAGCTGAATTCAATTTCTAAAAATTCTGATTCAATGGAGGTTTACCTAAGAAATATTAAGAATATTGTGGATCAGTTGAATCTTGCTTCGTCTTTTGTTGATGATGAAGATATTGTGTTAATTACTTTGAATGGATTGCCTGCTGAATATGATTCTCTTAAAACGGCTATCCGAGCTCGATCGGAGAGTATTAGAATGGAAGAACTTTCTTCTCTCCTCTGTTCCGAGGCTATTCATATTGAAGGTAAGATCAATCATGCCTCTGATTGTTGCTTACGCAACCATGAAGGATGATAATTCCTCTAAAGGTTTTACTTCGTATCATCATAATCGTAGTTCCCCTCGGGGTGATTCAAGAGATTCAAGAGGTACATATCGGGGAAATCGATTTGGTTCTAATCGATATTCCAATTTTCGTGGCCGATCTCAATCTCGAAATCGATCTACCTGTGGAACTATTTGTCAAATTTGTGGAAAGGCTAATCATTCGGCCATAGACTGTTGGCATTGTCTCGATCTGTAATTTTATCCTTCAACACAGTCACAATCACATTCTTCCCCTGTTCCATCTCATCCGTCCAAGGCATTTGTTACTTCTACACCAAATGATGCTTCCTCTTCATCTCAGCAGTCTTGCCCTTGGTTCTTAGATTCTGCAGCTTCAGATCATATTACCAATGATCTTCATAACCTCAACTCCTATCAACCATATACTGGCACCAATCAAGTAATCATTGGCAATGGTTCTTCTCTTCCCATTCATCACACTGGGAAAGGTATCTTATCTACACCTCATCATTCGTTTCGTCTTGATAAAATTCTTCATGTTCCTAAAATCTCTTCTAATTTACTTTCCGTGCATCAGTTAGCAAAAGATAACAACTGCAACATTATCTTTGATGATTCTTCTTTTGTCATTCAGGACAAGAACTCTAAAGCTATTCTTCATAAAGGATTGCATGCTAATGGACTTTATCATTTTGCCTGTGCTTTCCACCTCTTCCCCTCATGCTTTTCAAAGCTCCTCCTCTGCTGCATCTGCTCCATACATTTCATCATCTGCAGATACTTGGCACATATGTTTAGGCCATCCTTCATTTTCTAAGTTTCAAATGTTGAAACCACATTTGTCTTTGTCTTCTTCCTCAAATAAAGATGCTTTGCCTTGTACTGCTTGTTCTGTTTCAAAATGCCATAGACTACCTTTTAAACTTTCAAATTCCTCTGTAAATAATCTATTGGCATTAATTCACACTGATGTTTGGGGTCCATTTAATTATTCTTCCTCTACTTACAAGTATTATGTGTTGTTTGTGGATAATTTCAGTCGTTTTACATGGATTTATCCTCTTTATTACAAAAGTGAAGTGTTTTCAAAATTTTTGGAGTTCAAAGCTTTTGCTGAAAAACAATTTGGGTTTCCTCTTCAGATTTTAAGGTCTGATGGAGGTGGTGAGTTTATTAATCAATCTATGAAAGTGTTTATGCAAACTCATGGCATTCATCACCAATTCTCTTGTCTTCACACTCTATCTCAAAATAGGGTTGCCGAGTGCAAACATTTGCATATTATTGAAACTATGATCTCTCTTTTACATCACTTTTCTTTACCACTTACCTATTGGTTTGATGCCGTGGCCACCGCCACATATCTCATTAACAGGTTTCCTAGCAAAAATCTTTCTGGTTTATCTCCTTATGAATTACTCTATAGACATCCTCCTGACTATTCTAACCTCAGAGTCTTTGGTTGTTTGTGTTACCCCTGGCTTAAGCCCTATTCTCCTCATAAATTGGCCCCCAAATCAGCTCCTTGTGTCTTTCTCGGGTATCACCCTTCTGTCAAGGGTTATAGATGCCTTAATCCTCTCACAGGCAAAATTTTGCTTTCTCGGCATGTCAGATTTCATGAGGCATCTTTTCCCTTTTCTACTTGTTCTTCACAGTCCTTCCAGTCTTCACAGTCTTCCTTATCTCACCTCCAGACCTTCTTTTGGTCACCTACCCCTCTCTCCTCATCCACACCTATATCTCCTCTGCATCATCCTGTTTCCCCTCTACCGCAGTCTGCTTCCCTACTGCAGCAGCATATTTCTTCTCTGCCACAGCAGTCTACTTCACCAGTGCAGCCGTCTTCTTCCCCAGTACCGTAGTCTCCTTCCTCTCTGCCGCCTCCACCTACTTCTTCTCTACTGCACCCTGCACTACAGCCTTCTTGTTCTCCTCGCTCTCCGTCTGTGTCTCAGTTATCAATGCCCTATCTACCTCCTGTGCCCGTACCTTCTCACCCTTCTACTCATTCTATTCTTAATATTCATCCTATGACTACTCGATTGAAATCCCACTCTACTTGTCTTATAACCTCCTCTCCTCTTTCTCCAGATGATACTGAACCCATCTCATACCATCATGCTCTTCTCTCTCCTGTCTGGTTCCAAGCCATGCTTGATGAGTATATTGCTCTTCAGCAACATGGCACTTGGTCCCTTGTTCCTCTTCCTCCATCCAAGCAATCTATTGGGTGCAAATGGGTTTTTCAAACCAAGACAAATTCTGATGGAACTGTTGCCCGACATAAAGCCAAACTTGTCGCTAAGGGCTTCCTTCAGCAACAGGGCATTGATTTTCACGATACATTCAGTCCTGTGGCCAAGCAAACCACCATTCGGATCATGTTATGTTTGGCTTTACATCATAATTGGCCCCTCAAACAACTGGATATTACTAATGTCTTTTTGCATGGTCATCTTGAGGAGGAAGTTTACATGGATCAACCACCTGGGTTTGTTGATCCCTCTAAGCATACTATGGTCTGTAAACTACATAAGGCTCTCTATGGCTTAAAGCAAGCACCAAGAGCCTGGTTCTCTACATTTTCTGGATTTCTTCTTTCTCAAGGTTTCCTTCAAAGCAAATGTGACTCCTCTTTATTTGTCCGCAAGACCACTTCTTCTATCACTTATCTCCTCATCTATGTTGATGACATTCTCCTTACTGGCACTAATGAAGAATTTATTCAGACTCTTCTCACCCACATGCACAAGGCATTTTCCATGAAGGAACTAGGTCACATCTTCTATTTTCTAGGCATCTCAGTTCAGTCTTCTCCTTATGGCTATTTTCTTTCCCAATCAAAATATGCTACTGATATTCTTGCGAAGGCTGGAATGAAGGATTGTAAACCTTTTGCTACTCCTGTTCCTCTCAAACCCCCTCTTCTTCCCCATGCTTCTTTTCCATTCTCCTAACCTTTTCTCCATCGTAGTATTGTTGGCGCTCTTCAGTATCTTACCATTACAAGGCCTGAACTCTCCTATGCTGTTAACTCTGCTTGCCAGTACATGCACTCTCCTACCAATGGCCATTTTGCTGCTGTCAAACGCATTCTACAATATGTTCAGGGCACTCTGTCTCATGGTTTGCACTTTCAGCCCAATAATTTTCATCTTCAGGCTTGTAGTGATTCTAACTGGGCTGGTGATCCATCTGATCGTAAATCCACTTCTGGGTATTGTGTTTATTTGGGTGCCAATCTCATCTCATGGTCTTCTAAGAAACAATCCACAGTATCCCGCAGCTCCACCGAAGCTGAGTATCGCTCTTTAGCTCATACCACTGCTGAATTAACCTGGTTGCAAATGTTGCTTGCTGAATTTGCTATACCCCAACCTTCTCTTCCTGTGCTATGGTGTGATAACCTTTCTTCTCTTTCCTTGGCTGCCAATCCTGTCTTCCATAGCTAGATATATTCTGTTGTAGACTAGCATTCTATATAACAAGATACAGTTACACAATTACACAGTTAGGATTAGTTAGATAGAATTAGTTAGGTGGTTACCATGTGTATATATACTTGTAGAGATGGAATGAAATGTATGAAAAAAAATATCTTTAGACTTTCTTCAGAAACATCATTGTAAATATGAAGCTTCTTATCTCTTTCAACTTGTAGGTTTGGATTGTGGTCATACCTGACCACTACATATTCACAGTTAATGAACAAGCAAATTGTAACGTTGATATCTTGAGGGATTATTGCATCGAACAAAATATTAAATATTTCTATGATATTAAAGATCTTGGGGATTTCAAGGTATGTCTTTCTTCTTTGGCTTTTCCTATTGTAAATTTTTGTAAATGGCAGATATAATTTATCTAAAGTTTTTCACGTCAACCCTGATTATAAAGGTGTATGCCATCCCATATTGCACTTGCCCAAGAAGGTCATTGCAGGCCTGGAGAGGTGCCTCTCTCTCTCTCTCTCTATATATATATATATATATATATGTTGAATTAATAAAAAAATTATTTTAATTTCTGCATATTCGGTGTTAACAATTATTGTTCCCCTAATGTCAGGTCCTCCTAGGAACAGACTCCCACACATGTACTACAGGAGCACTTGGCCAGTTCGCTACTGGAATTGGACTTACTGATGCAGGTTTTGTGCTCGGCACTGGAAAGCTTTTGCTTAAGGTTTGTAAATGCTCTTTTTTCTAATGTCTGATGTTTCAGTTGATTGAGTATACTACAATTTTTCTTCGTTTTAGCTAGTTTTATGTGATATGTAATTAGGTAAACTGCATTTTGGTTTTCCTTTCGGTAACTACAATTAGGTTTTTCGTCTTACTCTTAGATATTGTGAATCTTTTACTATTATTTTTAAAGGATGCTACTTATGCTGTGAGTCCTTAGGTTAGGTGCTTTTGAGTAGTGTATTTTCATGTTGCCATCTTTACTTTGCATCCAATAATGTACATAGACAATCATACTTTTCGAATGTGAGCCTTTCCATCTGGAACTCGGACTCGCATATTCTCTACTGATTTGGTCTCATCATACATTGTGCATAAATGATTGCTCATCAAACTACGGAATTCATGGAATCAAGAGGACCGGTGCCAACTCAAATCAAACTCACCATTGCACATTTTTTTTGCAGTATTAATGTTGCAAAGTCCTGAATGCTAATACACAAACACAGGCACAAAACTACTATCTATAAACAAATATAGGAGCAGTAAACTCAAATATTTTGCTGCACAGTCCTTTGTGACATTGCTTTATATCTTTTCATGCTTGCTTGTATCCATTACTTGCAGTTTTCTTACATTTTCAAATTTCAGGTGCCTTCAACTCTTAGATTTGTGATGGATGGTGAAATGCCAAATTATCTGCTTGCGAAGGATTTGATTTTGCAGGTAAGTTTTACAGGGTCTTGAGGTGTTTGTTTCTTTTGCTTAGGTTTAATTTTCTCTTGCATTGCATGTTCTATCTTTTTTTTTAAGATGACTCTAATTAGTTTATTTCAGATTTCAATCATTGTTAGAGCCTCCAATTGTTGTTGTTTCACTTAATGGTTTTGACATTGCAGAGTATTGGTGAGATATCTATGTCTGGTGCAACTTACAAAGCAATGGAGTTCGTTGGCACCACTGTTGAAAGTTTAACTGTAAGTTTACTTGATCTTTCGATGCTGGTATCTAAAACCATCCCATATCTTCTCATAAAGTTGGTTAGGCAGAGTGCTTCAATCATTTAACTGTCATTTTATTGTTCTGTGCTTCAAAGATGGAAGAAAGGATGACCTTATGCAACATGGTTATTGAAGCGGGGGGAAAGAATGGTGTCGTACCAGCTGATAGTACTACATATAAGTATCTCGAGGTTGTTGATCTGTTCATTTTGATCTCTCTCTCTCTCTCTCTGTGCCTGATTGTTACACAACTATATATTGTCTTTCTAGGTGCTTTTTTTATATGTCTAGTTTTCCAAAAAAGTGGTTATTGTATGTGATTAAGTCCTCTATGCCAAATTATAGCCCAATTTTTTTAGATGTTCTGAAATTGTTTTTCATCATCAGTAGCCAATGAGTATGTTTAATTAAATATTGTGCTACAGCATAGTTACTTTTTAGAATTTAAATGAATAGTTATACACCAAATAACAATAATGGAATCTGACCCACTTTTAGTTGAAAGAATGTAATACTAGCTTAAAATCATAGCTGTGTTCATAGGATCTGATTTCCTAATCCATTGTGAAAAATGATTTTTTCATGTTGGCAGTAATTTCAGAATGTGGATAATTTTATCTGACTAACTTGTGTCGTCAAGACTTAATAGTTTTGTCTGTTGTTGTGTGCAGGATAAGACATCTGTGCCCTATGAAGCAGTTTACAGTGATGAGCAAGCCAGGTAGTTGGGGAGCACTCATGTAGATATGAGAAATATTAATGATTTGTCATCAATATTGATGATTGTATTTTAAACACGTCAAATTGCCAGTTTAATGCTTTATGTTTTTTTATTTATTTATAAAGCCTCTCTTTTATTAATTTCTTCATTGTTTTACTTCAAGACATAATTTATACTGTTGAGTTTATTTTTTGTCTTCTAGATTTGTTTCAGAATATAGATTTGATGTCTCGAAACTGGAGCCATTAGTGGCAAAGGTGAGTTTGAGTGATAATCTGACCTCTAGTTTCTTAGACAAGATAAGAAAGGAAGAAAATAAATCATTAAGCATTTCCATTATTTAATCTTTATGAGAATCAAGCAAAACCTAAATAAATAGACCATTTTCTAAGGAATGCAATTGCAGGGGAATTTCATTAGTGTTTGAAACTACGAAATATTGCTATTTCCATCCATCGTTGTGAGTAATATACAATCCGTACACTTTTGCAGCCTCATTCTCCTGATAATCGTGCTCTAGCAAGGGAATGCAAAGATGTGAAAATTGATAGAGTTTATATTGGATCTTGTATTGGAGGAAAAACTGAAGATTTTCTTGCTGCAGCCAAAGTTTTCCTAGCTTCAGTAAGACATCGAATTCCTGTATTGCAGCCAAAGTTTATATGTTGTTTATTATTTATTTATTTTTATAAACACAGAGAATAGACTCCACAAATAAATGTTAGCTTGTGACATTTTTTATTTTCTTGAGCTAAAAGACTCATTGTACACTGTGCAGGGCAAGAAGGTCAAAGTTCCCACTTTTCTTGTTCCTGCTACCCAAAAGGTTGGTAATGTTGGCTTGCGGTTGTAAATAGTTTTTAACTACGTTAAAAAAAGCATTGAAAAATAAATATGGTGTTTTCATATGTTCAAATTTCCAGGTGTGGATGGACGTATATAGTCTACCGGTTCCAGGATCTGGTGGCAAGACCTGCTCCCAGATATTTGAGGAAGCTGGTTGTGATACACCTGCGAGTCCTACTTGCGGTGCTTGCATGGGTGGCCCTAGAGACACTTACGCACGCTTGAATGAGCCTCAGGCAAGTTATTATACTATTTTATATTGGAACACAGTTGATTGATCATGTAAAATATCGTAGTTTTTATGAACAAATAATATAACTTTGAATGCATCTACTTGAAGAGGGAAATTCGCTTACTACACCTTTCTTTAATTTACTTGTATGGCGGATGGACACATTTATAACTCCCGAGAAGGGCTCATCATTGCAGGTCTGTGTCTCGACAACAAATAGAAACTTCCCTGGTCGGATGGGACACAAAGAAGGCCAAATTTATCTGGCTTCTCCATACACAGCAGCAGCATCTGCTTTGACTGGCTTTGTCACTGATCCAAGAGAGTTTTTGCAGTAGGCCATGAAACACCTGTTGATATGATTACTCTGTACTCCATGCTCCTTGAACTTCCACTGATGGGCCGAAGCCAAATATCAGGTTCAGTTTATATGATACCCAAAAGCCTTTTTGTACGTTTAGGTTGTGAAGAAGTGTGTGTGTTTGTTTTTTTTGAAAAAACTTTGTGGGGGATGATAGTAGTATATCTTTACTGGTTAAATTAATGAGACGCAAGACATTTTTGTGCAACTCTATGCTGTAATATAACTTTATGATTCTATGTTGTAATGTTGAAGATAAATGTTTGTGTAATAAATTGCTCGAGTGCTGAGCCATAGGCTGTTGCATAAAATAGTTTCAACCTACTTGTTTGCTACATGCACAAAAAAATTATTGAAACAGTGCGTAGAAATATCAATGTATGTCTAAGATTCGTTCTTTGACATGTATATTTTTTTTACATGTTACTGTTACTTTATTTTTATGTCATTAGTTAGCAGAAGGAACTTTACGACAAAGACGGATACAAAGTCTATGTTGTACCAATTTTTTCTCCAAGCCATATTAACTTATCAACTCTTTCTCACTACCTAATTCTCCTTCCTCCTCGCCTTCTCTTGTTCTTCTCTCTTTCTTCCTCTTCCCGTGGTAGTAGTAGCCAACAACTTCTCCGCAAACTACTACCAGAAGGGGTAAAATGTATTTAATTCTACGTATATACACGTACATATATGTATTATAAGTGGGAAAAAAATTCAGAAATGAAAAATCAGAGAAAAGCAAATGCCGCCGAGGAAAGAAAGAAAAAGAAAAAGAAAAAGGAAAAGGAAAAAGAGGAAATCTTTTCAAAAAAGTGAAAGACTTCACAACTTATAAGAGATTTGTTGGTGTCCCTTGCAAGAATGAAAATGCATGACAGTACTCAAAAGAAGAACAAAAAGAAACAAAAGTTAAAACAGAGTCCAGCATGAGCTTTTCTTTTATTTTTTTGGGGTCATGAACTTGTATATGAATGGTGCAATACAGTTGGTCTAATCAATTAAAAAGAAGGTGATTATGCATATGGGTCTCCACCAACCCCCATTCATCATGGGGTTTCTGCAGTGAAAAATCAACTCTGCATAAACTCATCCACCAAATTATCGACCATTCTTCAGAGTAGAATTATCAGATTTCATTTATTTTTTTAGTGTTTTAAGTGTTTTTTTTTCGGTGGATATTTGAAGCTAAATATTAAAGTAAGTCCTTGTCTTATTGAATCTTTAATAAATTATAACTTTCGATAGTGAGAAATTTTTTAAGATTTTCTTATGGAACCTTAGGCGACAGATTAATTAACTTTATGGTTGAATTCAACTAGTTAGCTCAAATGGTCGACTGGTGCAATGTGATTGGAAATAGGTTATGTTTTTTATATCATCTGATTTAGACCAAAACAACACACACCCTAGAGTAGTGATACCATTCAAGACTATTAATCTTTTCCATTTATTAGGTTCCCTATATACAAGGGGATGAACTCTTGGTAAGTTCAAATGTTCAGTACTTCAAAACTATTTTAGAGGCAAGAACAAATTTTAGCCCTTTTTTAGGTTAAAATTCATAAAAAAGATAAAATAAACTAAAATAATTAATAAGACAATATCACATTAAATCTGTAATCATTTCACTTTTCCTCTTACAAAGATCACATCTAACTGTAAAAAAATTCAATCATCTTCCCAAACACAAAAATTTTAGCCTACTAAAATAGCAAAAAATTAAAATAATCTACTAGAATAACAACTTCCCAAATGCCCACATCAATACTTCCCCTGTTAAAGCAACCCTCTAAATGTAGTAATGTGCAGAAATATGAAGGAACATTTTGAGAACAAAAGGCACCAAAAGCTTTTCTTACCAATTTTTCGGTTGAAAAGCAATATCAGTCCCCGTCTTCATTCCCCGTCTCAAATTCAATATCTATCACACGTTCAAGTCTTGATTGAAATTCACTCTCTATCACATGATCAAGTCTTGATCTATGTGATAGAGAAGATTTGAGAAGGGCTAAGGTATAAAGGATCCATGGCAATAACAGAGTCATTTCTTGCCCAAAAGGAGCCCTACTGCATATTGCCAATAGGCCTTCATTCCTTTACCAACCATCCAGTCAAAGGGTAATTAACGCCTTGCCCAAAAAAAAAGAAAAGAAAAGAAGAGCAGAGAACAGACTGTATGGTTCTTGGGCACTTCCAACTATATACATGTTGAGTAGGATTGTAAGAACATCCACACACCAGCCTCTTCAAATTTTAGTCAAATAATAATTAAAAAAATTATTTTACTATTTTAACTAGTTACATCTTTAGTACTTATTGTATTAAACTCTATTCTAACTTAATTTTATTAAAATATTATTTTCTTATTGCGTTTGTTATTCTTTTTTTTTTATTATTAAATTGATGAGTTACCAACCAAACAATTCTTTAAAAATACCAACAAAAATAAAAAATTTGACCGGCTGGACATCCGGTAACACTAATTTCCGTGTTGTAACGATGAACAGTACCTCACTTGTTGTAGCAAAGTACTATAGCAATCATAAATTAGCAAGATATTCTAGCAAGACTGATGGACATCCATATTTGATGAATAATATCACTAGTTTAACAAAAACACAATTTTAACTAATTTGATGTGAATAACAGAGCTATTACACCCATTCTTTAATAATGTAATGCTGCTGAATAATCGAACTATGAAAGATTCATAAAATTAAGAAAAAGTAGCACAATTACATAGCATACCAATTTTTTTTTATCACTTGACAAAAGAACTGAATTTCATGTGTATTTATTAATGATGTGCTATTAATGTTGACCACACTACCTTCTGTATAGTGGATATGTAGCATCACTCAAAAATTGCGGCAACCACAAAACGAAAGAACACCATAGAATAGAAACCTTAAAAGATATACACTTGACCAAAGGAAAGCATGTGACCAACAAACACAATGAATAGAATTAAATTGCAAAACAACACAAGCCATTCCATACCAAACTTTAAATAATAAATAAAGAAAAGAAAAATAAAAAAAAATAAAATCCACTCGATGGCAACAACTCAAGACACTAAATATGAAGCAATGCCATATTTACAGTATGAGATGAGAAAGTGGCATCGGTGAAGTATGAGGTTGTATACGGTACTAGAAAGAGCAGTTAAAAAATCTAGATTGAATAAGGCCTACAAGAGAGGTTAACAGAAAAAAGAAAAAAAGGAAAAAAAGAAAAAACAAAACAACAAAAAGGCAATCTTGGCAAAATGCTCGGACTGTTCAACTTGTCTACTTTCCTTTGATTTTCTTTTTCAAACTGTGCTGTTTCTTCACCTTACAGGAGCTTAATAGATCGAAAGGGGGTTGCAGTAATGCTAGTTAGGCTTGCTTCTCTGTCCCTCATTCCTCTCTTGGAATCGTGGAGCTGTGAATAAACGATCAACTTAATTTAGAAGGGAAAGAACTCAAAAGAAAGGGAATCTCAAAGAATATACTTTGAAATATGCATAAACATACCAAGTCCATTAGCGTCTGAGGTCCTCATGATTCTAAGCCTCTTGACCGTGCTCAGAAACATCCTAGACAATTACAAACAGAAGGCTTAGTGTTGTGTAAGCATAAAACAGAATCAACTAGATAAATCATCAGCACTAGGAAGTGCAGATTCAAAAGTTATTATCTGTATCTTTTGATGTTTCTTTTCTCCATTGTTTTGTGGGTTATCTTGTAATGGGAAGTTGTTTGAAACACTTGTGATGTGTTTAGATCTTGGTCACAGAGAGGAATTTGTAGAGGAAAAAGAAGGGAAATGTTTCTCCACAAATTCCTCCCCAAATCTAAGATCCAAACACTCTTAGGAGGTCCGGCAACTATGTGGTATGTTAATTGCTGCCATAGCAGCAGCAAGTGGAGGTCTATTTCAGTTGCAGGCTCAAGAACTCGCATGATTGCTCCATAAATATTCTCACCTAAGAAGCACAAACACCTCTACGAAGGTGCTGTGTCCATGTCAGACACTGATACTCACAGGACACTTCTCGACAGTCAGCCACATGGTACACTTTGCCTCTTTATCTCTCCTGCTTATCAGGCAACAGTTTCTCAAGGATACTTCTGTTAATTTTCTTATGTAAAATCCGAAGTTTTTCATTATCTCCTTCCTGTGATTATATAACTATCTAGTTTTGAGCTTAAGATGCGTTGTCAAACACTTAAGGTGTGCAGCCACATGGTACACGTTGCCGCTTTATCTCCCCTACTTATCAGGCAACAGTTTCTCAAGAATACTTCTGTTAATTTTCTTATATAAAATACGAAGTTTTTCATTATCTCCTTCCTGTGATTATATAACTATCTAGTTTTGAGCTTAAGATGCGTACCCCCAAGGAACATCTCCCACAAGCATCCAGTCTCCCTCTTTATCTTCATAAGTAAGCACAAACTCGGACGATCCATCCAGAAGTTTAGAGGGTTTTTTTGCTTGTTCCTTCTCTCCACCTGATCAAAATTATACAAACACATTAAGTATCATATAACAACAATAAAATATAAATGATCACTCCTTTAATAAACACATACACAATGCAACATGCCCATAGCAACCATTTCTCATGGCTAATCAAAGAAATTGATCAATCGGGGCATGAAATTAATGGTCAAGCCGGCTTGCACATAATTAAATCACATTTTGGTTAACATCTATCATCCCAGTTGAAACCAAGCGAACTAAAGCAGGGTCTAGAAATAACAAGATGTACACAGCCTTATCCCCATTTTCTAGAGAGGCTGTTTTCTGTGACTTGAACACGTGCCACAAGGACGCTAACAGCAAGCCTTTACTGTTGAAGAAAACTTACCAACAGAACCAATGGTTGTGGTTGTTCCGAAGAACATCTCCTCTAGGGCTTGAGCTAAAGTCTCATAGCAGGCATGAGCATTCAAATCCACTTTTCTTCCAATTGGCAATCCATCCACATTCACTTTCACAAACCCAAGGTGATGCCCTTTGATTTCGTTACCAGTAGAGTTAGCCTTGTTGCTTCCATAGTTAAATTTCTTCTTTGAAACATCCTTATTTTTATCATCGTCACCAACCACCTTATCTTCTTCAGCATTTGGAGCCTTTGTTTGGTTGAACAAGCTGTTCATCCTATAAGCCCTTATTGGTGGCCATCCCACAACCTGGCTGCTTCCAATAAGAAGATGCATAGGTGAATAATCTACCCAACAACGACGCAAATTATAGATAATCTCCAAACAAAAAAAAAAAAAAAAAAACCAGAGCAAAACATCCTAAATCAGCAAAAATCAAACAAAAATCTGAAACCAAAAGGCAATATAATAACAGTTTTGCTATGAACACATAAATCAATCACAAGTAGAGACACAGAATATAAATGAAGGGGAAAGAATTAATAAAATTTGTTGGTGGGCTAAACAAATTAAATTATTCATCTATGTAAATTCTGTATCCAATTGTATGATTAGTTACTGTGCTCTTAGTCATTCATATAGACATTGAAGGAAATAATAGGGAAAAAACCAAGAACTAAAATCACTATACAGAAATAAATATATACACACAGACATACACACAACAACAAGTATTGGAGAGTGAACAAGATTATATACAAGGACCAAGAAGTGGAAAAGGCTAAGGGTAAATCAAAATTTTGAAGACCAACTAACAGATGAAAGGTAAATTTAAGAAAACATTTTAGACCAATACATAAGAAAATACCATACAAACAAACCACTAGTACAAGACATAGAGAGAAAAACAACTGATAAAAAAATACAAAAAAAATTAAAACTAACAAAAGACAAAGCAAACAAGAAAAAGGATGGCTCAAGGAATACCCAAAGGAGAAAATAGCCCAAATGAAGAACATAAAGCCCCGGTTTCCCAAAACCCATATCAGAAATGGGTGACAAAATAAACAGAGCTACAGCAAAGAAACAGAGCACAACACACAACAAGAAGGTGATACACACACACACACACACACACACAAAGTTGTAAAAGTCTGACCTGACAGCAGTAGTAGAAGCAGATCCAACCTCTGGGGGAGCAACATAGTGAGCAGCAGCTCTTTTAGTTCCAGAAACAGAAGAAGCTCTGGTTGAGAACCCATTTGGGAAATCATTGGCAGTCAAGATTCTACCATACTCACCCCATGGAGACCCTGCTTTAGTCTTCACAGAACCACCACCACAACCACCGAGGCTCAGACCAAGACCCAACTCCAGCTCAGCTTCGTTTTGGTAAGATGAAGCCTCAGAAGCAGCCTCTCCACCACCACCACCAAGTAAGCCTAACTCAACTTCCATGAGGAGAACAAGAGAGATGGTTGAGTTGTGTTTGAGGGGGTCAGAAGAGTTTAAGAAATGGTTAGGAAAACAACTGTATGATGTATTATTGAGTTCAGAGAGAGAGAGTGTGAGTGTGTGTGTGTGTTGGTCTAGGTTGGGAAGCAAAAAGCAGGGAAGGAGGGAGGGAGGGGAAGGGAAGGGTAGGTTTTAGTGTGTGGGAGAGAGGAGATGGTGGTGGTGATGGTGGTGGTGGAGAGGGGAGGGAAGAAGTGACAGTGATGGGACCCATGTGTCTGGTAGTGCGCCTACCACTGTCTTATGTTTCTTACTTTTGGAGAAATCTGACTCCTCCTCAAAGACCTACACCAGGTTTTCCAAAAAGTGTTCCCAGTTTGGTTTTTATTTATTTTTCAATATATTATAATAATTTGTAAGAGCAAAAAAGTTTGGTACATAATTGAGATGTAAAAATGCTTGAGACCTCTAAATTGAGGCCTCTAAATTGTGATGTGTCATACATTTTGTATTGGCAATAATTATAAAAAGATAAAATAATTTTTTTAATTTTAAATTAAAAATATTATATTTAAATTATAATTATTTATTTTTTTATAAAATTCAAAAAATTCATCTCAAACAAAATTTTTTATTTCAATATTAAAATAATTAAAAAATCAAAAAATTAACTCATATTCTAAACAAAATCATTATTATCTTTTAATTATTGTCCCATATCATTGTTGACGTGTGATTTTAACGACAAATGTTAAAAAAATAATAAATGAAATTTAGCTTTTCTTGCATGAAAAATATGTGTAAGAAAAATTAATTATAATATTTTTGAAGAGTTAATTTTTTTTTTCATATGGATACAAGTATTATTATTATTTTCATAAGACAAAAATTCCTTATTTATTATTGTGTTTATTATTGCGTATAATAAAAAAAATAGAAATATCCTATATTATTTTTTTGAACAAATCTAATATGGTGAGATTCCCACTGAAAAAATTTTAGTTGCAAAATATTTTGTTTGATTTAATTTTAAAATTTGTATTAAGAATTTATTTTTAAAAAAATTATAAATTAATTTGAAAAAAATAAATATAAATAAATATTTAAAATTTAAAATATTATTTAAGTTTCAAAAAAAATCATATGAAAATTTATGTTCCAAAAAAAAATCATATGAAAATAATTAGTGTTTAATTTTTTGTAAAAAATCACCAAATTAAATTTTAATTTTTTTAGAAAAAATATATTCAAAAAGAAAAGTGAAGAGGTAAAAAAAATACAAAAATGCTAGAAATTTCAAAAATTCTACAAAATATGTTGGTAAAAATTTTAGTAGAATTTTGGAGTCTCTAGCATTACTCAAAAAAAAATTGGAGTAAGTGAATGGTGCAAAATAAAAGGGATATTGTAGTCTCCTTATAAATATAAAATAATTTAATTAAGACAACTTTTAAAGTTGTGTTATTTTCTATACAAATTGATATAAATACATTCAATTTAATTAAGACAACTTTTAAAGTTGTGTTATTTTCTATACAAATTGATATAAATACATTCATTTAATTTAATGTCTTCTTAACATATTAGGACACATGTTAACAAAAATTTTACTTTATTACTCAATTAGATATTATAACAACTAACCCTTCTTATTTATTTATTTATTTTTTCAATTTGGATCTTTATAGCTAAAATATCCTTTCATCAGTTAGATAAATTACACTTTATCCCTTGAACCATGACCTCATATCACCTAATATTACTTTTAATTTGGAATTTCTGATTTTTTTTTTCATTTTACAACTAAATTAATTTTTAGTTTGTTAGAAAAAAAAATTAAACAACGAAAATATTTATAAAAAAAAATCGGAAATATATTCACCAAAGATAAGAAATATAAAAATATATCAATTTTTTTTTAAATATTTTCGTCTTTAGTGATTTTAAAAAAAATCTTCACAAATATTTAAATTTTAGGTAAATTTAAAATTTATTGATTAAAATATAAAAAATATGAAAAATTATTTTTTAAAAAAACTTAACATTTTTATTTTAAATTAAAAATCAAATATTTTTTTAGTTGAGGGGTAGAGTGATAGTTCAAAGAAGTAAAGTGTAGTTTACTCCTATAGTTAAATGGGTATTTTTGTTCTTGAAGTGTAAGGGTTGTTTTGGGAAGTTGATTAATAATTAATTTTTTGATTTTTTTGTTTTTTTTTATTATAAAAATGTGTAAAAAATAGAGAGATGATATAATTCAAAATAGGTTAAAAGCTAAAAATTAATTTTTAACCAAGTTTTCAAAATAGTCCTAAATTGAAAAGAATTAATAGATGAGGAAGTTAGTATTATAATTTTTAATTCAAACCGTAAAGTGATTTGAAATAGTCCTAAATTGAAAAGAATTAATAGATGAGGAAGTTAGTATTATAATTTTTAATTCAAACCGTAAAGTGATTTGAAATCATAGTTTAAAGAGGTAAAATATAATTTGTCTTATAATTGAATGGGTATTTTCATCATAAAGGTTCAAAATGGAGAAAAACACACACACACCCAAAAAAAAAAAAGCCAGAGAGAGTGAGCAGATGCAAAGGATTAAGGGTTGCAATTTTTAATTCAATGGTGTATAGTGATTTGGTACAATAGTTGAGGGGGTGAAGTATAATTTATCCTTGATTGTTTCGAAAGTAAAGGGTAACTCTTTTTTACCCAATGCATGCAATAGAAAGTTTTTGTGCTATAGTATCAACCAAAAAAACAAAAAATAAAAAGAAATATATATTTTTTTATGCAAAATCAATTTAAATGAAAATATTTTCCATCAAAACAAACTGATTGGAAGGGTTTTTTCTTTTTTCTTTTATTATATAGAGCTCTATCTTGCTGGCTGTTGTTTAACATCTAATGCTTATAACTGCTCAAAACAGTTAAAAATATTCAACCTTGTAAAATGATAATATTTGAGCAAGTGAATATAAACCAGATAGAACAAACTAATGCATGCTTGCGACGCAGTATTAATAAATATTAACATATTCTCTAAAAAATGTGTTTCTAACATGGTCATGTTTAGGAAAAAATAAATCCAAATGAAAACGTGGCTTCATAACTTCAAAATTCATAATAGATTATTGGTCCTGCTTAAATATATATTTTCAAGTCAGTCAACCAAGGACGGAACCAGAATTTCATCA